CAGTTCCCTCATCCTCTCCTCACAAGTTGTGTGCCCCAGCCCCCTATTTTGTTGCCTTCTGCTGGTCTCCATTTGTCCACATCCTTTCGGGGGGGGGAGGGGGGCAGAACTGGACACAAGACTCCAGAAGTGGCTTCACTAGTGCCAAATAGAGGGGAAGAATCACTTCCCTCACCCTGCTGGCAATGTTCCTACTAATGCAGCCCAGTGTAGGCACACTGGCTCATACTCAGCTTATTGCAACCCCAGGTCCTTTTCTGCAGAGCTGCTGCTTAGTGAGACAACCCCCAACTGGTGCCTGGGATTGTTCCATCCTAAATGCAGGACTCTGCACTTGTCCTCATTGAACCTCATGAGATTTCTTTTGGTCAGTCCTCCAACTGGTCTAGGTCAGGGGTAGGCAACCCTTGGCATGGGTACCAGAGTGTAGCACTCAGAGGTATTTTACTTGGCATGCATGCCTTGGGGTGGAGAGCAGGGAAGGGGCTGGAGCTGCTCTGCAACAAGTATTGGGCCCCTCGTGGATCCCCTACTATCTGCGCCTGGCACACCAACATCATCTTACAAGTTGAGGTCATGGGTGTTTTTGAGCCCTGGTCTAGGTCTTTCTGAATCCTAGCCTTACATTCCGGCATATCTACTACCCCTCACCGCCACCTTGGTGTCATCTGCAAACTTGCTGAGGGTGCACGCAATCCCATCTTCAAGTTCGTTGATTAAGACATTGAACAAAACCAGCTCCAGGACCAAACCCTGGGGCATGCCACTTAATACCAGCTGCCAAATAGGCAGAGCCATTGATTACTACCTTCTGAGCCCAATGATCCAGCTAGTTTTCTATCTTCCTTACAGTCTGTTCAACCAACCAGTACCTCCTTAGTTTGCCGACTAAAACCACCTGAAAATAACCCGCTGCTTGCTTATGCGAAACCATGAGAAGAAAGTAATGTACAGAAGTTCTTTTGGACTTGGTAGCTGAAACCCTGGCCAACAGCACAGCAGGGGTCTGAACAGTTCAATTATTCTGTCCAAGTAGTGCTAAAAGTGAGACAAACCAGACTTTCTCCATTTTACAAAAATAGCTCTTATCAAGGTTTAATGCTTTGTCTTTTTTACAGGAGTTAGGAGCAAAAAGCTCCCTGTGCATCTTATCTGCAGCTTCTTTTCATTTAAGTTTTACCATTCCCTTTGTGCTCATCTTGTTAAAAATACAAACATAGCAGGTCAGTGCAGTCAAGTCTTCCCATGCCATCTTAAAAATTTCTAGTCATAGCAATACAAAATAAAACAATTTCCCCATTTAGAAATGGTCATTCCTTATAACAGTGTTTCCCAACCTTTTCTGTCCCATGGCACTTACCTGGCTTTTTCGGTCCCACAGCACACCGGTCAGACGGGGGGCAGGGAGGGTAATCAGCCAGGGCACAGTGACAGGGTTGGCAGCACTGGCTGTAGCCACGCCCTGCTGGAAACCACGCCCCCCAAGATTCTGCAGCACATGACAGCACACCAGTGCGCCATAGCACACCAGTTGGGAAATGCTGCCTTATAACAAGGACCTTACTAAGATCCAAGGTTAGTATCTCAAAATGTGTGAGTGATACTCTTCTTTTTGCTGGTTGCAGAACTGTTACTGTTTTTTATCCTGTGCGGTTCTGATTCCAAGTGAAGATCTCTGGAAGCAAATCTGAAGCATCATTCTGAAGTTAGGATATAAAGTAAGTTGGAACAACTGCGATCAAACAGGACGCTCTAAACATTGTCTACTGTAGCGCGTGTCATATCAAGTATGCCAAATCCCTTCAGAAAGTAATACAGCTGCAATTACTACCTCTGCCTAAGATGTAGCGTTCAAAGTCAAATGCCTGTCCAGGCTTGTTTTTTGCTTCCTCACACTTTAATCTATACATGTTATGCTGGTTTGAGAGAGGTCATATAAAGATACTCTGTATGTGGAGTTCCAACCATCAAGCTGCTTTTTTATGGCAACACCCAGGGCTACTTCTAATAAAATCCAGAGTTTCAGGAGTCCTGTCATCCCATGGAATCTGACGTTAGTACTGGGGGACTGACCAGCTTATTCTGTTCTTTGCTAACTCCTGGACTTAGGTCTCCTGATAAATCTAGGCTGACAGTGGAGTTTGAGAATGGAATCTAATGTTTAACTCCCATGCAGAGTTAAAGCTGCTTATTCATAACAGACTATTCTGGAGCTGCTCGCTCCTAATCTGGAACGTGACTTTGCATCATGAAATGCTGTGGTTTGTGATGAAGTGAGAAATGGGGCTTACACGAAGTCCTACAAAACCAGTATCTCTTATAAATATTCCTAGTAAAACATCTTGATTACATTACTCGCAAGCAGTCCCAGTTGCATGCACTCAAGTCCAGTCTTGCAGACATGCAGAGGATAAACTGTCTGTGTTAGTCTGAGGGCAATAAGAAATTTGGTAACATTTTACTATCCACCGGCTGCACATGGTGGAGACTCAGCTCCATGGACTACCTCCAAGGATTTGAAGGCAGCCATTGAGTCTGGGTGTTCCTAGTTTAGTTCCGAGATTCTGAAGAAGTTGGGCTGCGGACTGTTGACATCAAGTGTGACTTGTATGTCTTGCTCAGGCCAGTCATCCAGAATTTCAGAAGTTTGACGTTGTCCTCCTCAGCAGCTCCCAGAATGCTCAGCAGTTTTTGGGTGTCCTCCTTGGGCCGGCTGTCTACTTTGGTGAACTTGAAGAGGACCTTCACTTTACTGCAGAAACAAGAAACCTGTCAGTTGAGTTGCAACAGTTGACAGCTTAGTGCAAGCATGATTTGAGATACAGGAATAGGCAGCACTGCAAGTTCCCCTGGGGTGCCCAATTCCCTGTTGTATGCAACAGAATACTAATAAAGGACACACTCTAAAACTCTAAATAATTTGCTCTCGTGCTTTATGTCTATTTTTCTCCCAATCCCACCCTGATCTTAGTACTAGGTATGGCCAGCACTGATGATAGGCTCCAGAAGACATTCTTTCCCTTCTTTTGCTACATGTGTCAGGGCTGGGTTCCCCCCACCCCCAACAGCAGGAGTATTGCATGTTGGCAGCAGCCAGGGCTGTGGACTTTGACTGGAGTATGACAATGCTCCTGATGGGGATAAAAAAAAAAAATAAACCTGTGGCTACAGGGTCTTGCTTGTCCACACAGGATTGAACCAAATCACCACATCTGGGATCAAGAAGGAATTTTACCCTATGGTCAAACTGGCCTGGGCTGTAAAGACAGTTGGTCTGGAGCACTGTACCAAAGGGTTGTTTGTACAGGTATAAGAACAGATTAGATGAATACTAGACTCAGATGGTTTCAGGGGTTGACAAAATACGGCCTGGGAGCCAGATCCGGTCCACCAGGCCATTCTATCTGGCCTTCGGGGCCCCTAAAAAGTTAGAAAATTAGAATTTATTTGCTCATAGCTGCCTGTCAAAGATGACAGGAGCCTGGGGCAGTAGGACCCAAAGGAAGCTAGTGGCAGGACCCAGCAGCAAGGTCTACCCAACCCTTGCCCCCCAACCAGAAACCCTTGCCTAGCAGAGGCTTCTGGCCTGGGACCATGGGGCAATTCCTGCTTCCCTGCGCCAGAAAGGGAAACGCGGCCCTCAACAGTTTGCCAAAACTTGGTAAGTGGCCCTCCGCCCAAAATAACTGCCTGCCCCTGATTTAGATCCTGCCTTGAGCACGAGGGTTATGGCTTGATGACCTCCTGAGGTCCATTCCAGCCCTACTTTTTCTATGATTCCATACATAGTTAACTATTTTAAATTTTCCATGTTAGTCTTTCTTCATGTTCCTATGTCATGCATGTTTATCTCCATTCCAGCCTTCAGATAATAATGCTAAAACAGCAACAGTCTGTGAGTGAATTCATTTACTAGGGCTAACCACTTATGACTTTGTGATATAGTAGCTCAAGATGGCACCAGGATATTTGGCCTGCTTACCTGAGGTAGAATATATTGTGCCTTAATAACTCAATGTACACTGGCAAGTTGCTCTGAAAATACAAATACACCTAATCCTCCTAATTTGTGAGGCAGATAAAGACTGTCAATGGAAAAATGGAGGTGCAAAGGTTAAGACTTGCCCAATTCTACACAGGGATTAGTGTTTGGCCTCCTTGTGCTCTCTGGAGCACATGTGCATGTTGCTCCCTGGAGGAAAAACCTAAAACCAAAATTCAACTGGTTAAATCCATTATCTCTGAAGGGAAGAAAATCCAGCTTGGTTAGCCCAAGACTGGGGGTCAAGAGTGCTTCAGGGCAGTTCCTACAAGACTTCTGAAATGCCTGAAGCCTTTTTACTGAAAACAAAAATCTGCCTCTTACTTCATCCACTCCTCTTTCAGGCAGACGAGGCACTGGTCTACAACATCGACAGAGAGGTTCTGGTTGGTCAGAGCTGCTTCAATCTTGTTCAAGATGGTGGGGCCAACTGTAAGAACACAGAAGAGAAAAGGGACAGTAGAACTACCCATAGCCACCCTTAAGTGCGTTCATCAGTGGTGAAGTGGTGGTGTCTGTATTTGTTTAGAAGTTCAATAGATAAGGCACATGGGTACAAGACTGTTGTGCACAGATCACATTTCTTTTCCCCTTAATCCTAATTCAAAGGTAGTCATTTGTACTCGCTTTTCACCATTACTCTGATCTGGTGCACTGCAGTAGCTGTAGTCTCCATCTGCATTAAACAGTAACAGCAACAGTAGAGTTTTCAGAGGGCTAGTGAAGCCCTTGGCTGGCATCTTAACTTTCACTGAAGGAAAATGATATTGAGGGATGTTCTTGTCAAGACATGTGCTTGGCTGCAGGATCCTACAACCATACTTGATGAGTGGTGGTAGCTTCCAAAGTACACAAAGACCCTCTTGTGCAGTACTGTTAACATTCTGATTTGTCTCTTATCCCTGCCTACATCAAGAAGTGGAGAGTGGGGATGAAGGTCAGCCATCTGTTCCCTCTTAAGAGTCAGTGAAAACAGTTCATATATATATATATATATAAATAAAGCTTGCTCTCAAGAGCTATGGGGGTATAAACATTTACCAGGTAGAACTGAAATTTACCCCATGCTGTTCATAGCTGCAGGTTAGTGTTACATATGGGGCTGGATCATTTTATGATTGTTATCTATCTGGTTGGACTAGACTCAATTTGCACAAGATAAGGAGAATGACATATTTCATGGCACAGTGTTCACCACAGGGTCAGGGAAGTGTCTCCTTACACAGGCTCCTTCATGACTAGTCAGATTTGTTAACAGAGATTTACCTCTTGTCTGAAGAGTATCACAATCTGCTGATCTAGCAGAGCAAATCCTCGACAACTGAAAGCAGGTTGGTGAAATGACTCATAACTAATAAATACCAAGCGTTTTATTTAAGAACAGTTCCAAACTGACCTGACCTTCTCTATAAATTTTTTAAAAAGCCAGATATCAGGAGTAAACCCTTACTGCCAGACTAAGGGAAAATGTGATAACAGCTGAAGACTGAGACTCCTTTGATCCCAGTGGCAAATGGTGCTGTAACCCTGTTTCCAAAGCACCCACCTCGGTCTGCTGCAACAGGACTCCCACTAGTGACCATAAACTCATACTTGCTGAGGGACTGCTCATCATCAAACAGAACAGGGTAGAGGCTGGACCGGGTGGCAGTGCGAACTTCCACAAGGACAGCAAATTCTAGAGGGATGAAAACAGACAGTAAGCCATACACCACGTGTGCACTTTGCTTCCATGGGGCAACTTTTCCAAAGCTGAGGGAGATTTCAGTGAACTTGTTTCTACAGGAAGCATTAGAACAAAATAAGGTGACTGAAAATGAGAAAGTCTTTAATCGACCCCTCCTTCCCCCAAGCCCCATGATTCCCTAAACAGAAGGAGGGCAAATTCAGTTAAATGCCCATCCTTGCTCAATAGCGAACTGAAGGCAATGATTGGAATAAAATTTTTAAAAGACCTAAGAGAACATGCCATGTCCTTCAGCAACAGGCTAGAGAAAACTTATGGGAAAACAGCAGAAAGGGGCACTAGCTCTGGCTGAGCAAGTGTTGCTGGACCAATCTGTTCCCTGTAATATGGACAGTGGTGAGCAGAGCTGGTTCTTACCAGATGAGAGTATGTGTGGTGGGATTTGCACATGTGGGCTAAGCCCCAGGAAGTTACACCGATATGCCTCCTCATACTGGTCACTGTATGGGATAATCCGAATGCAGCCCACGGGCAACATGGTCTGCAGAAGGAAGAAAACACATTGAGAGATGCAGAAGAACTAAGCAGTTGTGGATATAATTTCAGGTCCAAGTTTTTCCCATATTTTCCATGCTTGCTGGGCTGGGAGTAATATCAATGCAGAATCAGCTGATCCTGGGGGACAGGAATATATCAGCTAGGCTATCTGTGGCCAGTGCACACTAGACTGTAGAAGAGGGAACAATTTCCAACCCTTCTTGGTTGTGGCAAAGCCTGCTGCAATGCAGAGCCCCAAGTGAAAGTGATCCTGGAAACTCCTGGCTTGACAGAACTGGTGTCTGAAACCATCCTCCCCTTTCACTAGTTCTACCTGGTGATAATCCTCTAATCCTCCACTAATCCAAAAAAGCTTGATTATTTGAAAAAGTTCTGCCACCCTCTTCCTGATGGTTTATTATGATGTAGCAAAACACCGATTATTTTAGTCCCTACGTAAATCAGACTCGTTTGTTTGTTTTTTAATGTAATAGTACTACAGCAAAACAGGATCACGTGTTTTAAACAATGCAAAAGAAGTTGGAGCACATTCCTCCCTAGATTGTATTCCAAAGCTAGGCTGCTTCAAGGGTCTGAACTAGTACAAAAATATGCAGGAAGCCACAGCAGGCAGATAAAGAAACAAGTTCATACCCGCAGCACGTCAAAGGCAGACTGGACAAGATTGGCATCTCGTGCTTTCCAGATGACCTGGTTCCCCATAAGAACATGCCAAGCCAGCATGCGGAATGCAGATGCCCCAAGGACCTGAAACAAACCAAACCAAACCCTATTTGGATATTTAACTACTTTCTTTCACAATTTTAGCCCATTCAAGGCATATTGATTGTCATGCTGCCAATCAAATAATAAAAATCCACTAGCTTTTCTACTCTTTAAACTGTGTCCATCATCACCAGTGTAAATTTTTAGTGCTGATGAGAGATGCCAGACGAAAGAACATTCCCCAAGCAAGGACAACACAAGCAGCGGCAAATGCTTCCTTGCCAGTCTGCTTCTGCTACGACCCAATTGAAAATTTAACACCACAAGAGAGATTAGCTCAGTTTCAAGATTCACTCACTGAATCCTTGGCTTGCTTCTAAGACTAAAAAAATTCAGAGGTTCCTCGGTAGAGGGTTTTGCTCTTTTAGTCAGGGTCAGACTGATCACTGTGTTTGGGATCAAGAAGGAATTTTACCTTATGGTCATAGTGAATGGACCATAGGTCTTTTTGCTTTCCTCTGCGGTCCCTTCTTCCTTGGATTTCTTGAGTAAATTTTAATGACTACTCCTTGTCCTTGCAGTGACAGCTCACTAGCAGCGTCCCTATTCCCCTGCTTCACCTATGGCAAGTTAGGGTGCTTTTTGTTGCTTCGGGCATTGTGTCTGGCAGTTGTATAAGTAGGTTGCAAAGTTTTTAAAAAAACAGGTTAGATAATTACTTGTCTGGGATGATTTAGATAGGAATGACCATCCCATGGGCAAGATGAGATGACCACCTTAAGTCCCTTCCAGGCCTACTTTTCTCTGATTCTATGAATTCTTATGTCAGTGAGTACCTTGCTAAAGGTTCTGGTTCTCTTTTCCTACCTGTCTCATGTGCCTGAGGGATCGGAAGACTGACAGCCTTCTAGGAGTGTTCCAGTTGCTGCAATCTGACATCAAAGACATGTCAGTGGAGCACTTGGATAACTCCCACCCTTCTACCCCATCTGGCTGAGTAGAGGACTTCTCCTCTTCTCCCTCTGAGCCATCCCAGCCTTCTGACTCTTCTTTCAGATCTGTAACAAAAGACATTTGTCATGAAAGCCACTTTCCCCACTCCCCCCTTTCCTCCAAACTCAGCAAATACTAAGATCTCAGCTTCTGTACGTTTTCTAGTATCACTTTACACTTAACATACCATGGCCTTTTTTTTGGCTGTGGTTGCAAATATGTAGATCTTTTCATGACAATCATATTTGTAATTATTATGCAAGTTAAAGTGATAAATGTAATCACATTCTGTGCTACAGTCTTGTAAGATAACCAGCAAATGGTCAGGAAGTAAATTTTCACCCTACAGAAAGAGCACTGCACAACTAAATGTGTTTTGGGGCTTTCTGTATCCTTTCTTTGACGGTTCCTGCTACTGCCTTGGGGACTACCTGGACCAATCACCTAATTTGCTGTGGGAAAAATCAGTGTTATATTTCTAGAAAGTGTATGAAAGAATAGGACAGGGGACAGCCTCATCTCTTACAAACAGTAAGCTCTTCTGGCCAGTCAGATGTGCTGCAGACCCAAACCAGCAGGACAGTAATTATAATGATATGCTCATATGTGAATAACAAATGTGCACAGGAACACCCGAGCTTCTACTTTCCAACCAGATTCTTTCCACACAGAAAGGAGCTGGTTGCTGGACAGGCTATGCCACACCATGACAGAGGCAAGAAGTGGGATGAAATGAGCTAGTGTTTTGCTATCCAAAGCATTGAGAAATGTTCCTCCTTCCCTAATTGCTTGATGACTTGCCTGCAAGTTTTTCCATCTGAACTAGGGTGTCCTCTGTTGGTGCTCCCTCCAGAAGCTTCTCTGTGAGGCGGCTGCCACAAGCTTTCAAGAGCCTGGAGAGAAGGAAAGGAAATTGGTCTTCATGGTATCTTCCTGTCAGCCAGAATTAGGCCATTTGAATATCAGTCCCGTTTCACATAACGTATCAAAGTATCTCACAACATGCTGGATTACCCAAAGTCACTGGAAAGAGGTTGGCAGGTTGCACTAACTTTCAGCAACATATTTTATATCCACCCCAATGTCATGACACTCTCCACAGCATCCTTCTAGGGAAGTCTGGCATGTGAGTTTGGGATAGGTGAAGCATGCTGTGAAATCTCACTAAGCAGCATCCATTTGGCAGGGTAATACATCCCGTGATACACAGCACCTGATATTAGGGCAGGCCAGTGTTAGCCTGCTGAGTACAACAGTTATTAACTGAGCAGGTTGAGGAGGACATCTTCCCTTCTTCCATCTTTATTTTGTGCCTTGTACAGCCCCTTCCTCTAAACTGAAAAGGCTGGAAAATACAGGCTTTCTTTAGAGCCTGTTAGTGCTGCCCCAAACCTGCCAGAAGTACTGCTGTAGTATAACTGGAAAAGCTTTGTTTTTAAGGGACCAAGCAAGCTGTTGCTTCAGCATGCACAGCACTTTCCAGTTCAGGGATGACAAACAGAGCCCCACAGCACTACTGGAATACCCACAAACTTGATGCCTTCACCCAGTCCACAAACAGACCATGATTTAGGAAGACAGAGGACATTACCAAGCAAAGGAGGTATGCAGGCAGGCCCACAGGTTCTCATCATTGGTCAGTGATGTTAGGGAACGGGCTGCATTGCCATTGCGCTGGTGCAGGAAGGGAGTAAAAGCTGTATTCATCCGCTGGGCACGCTGCGGGAACCCATACTGCTCAGCTTCAAACACCTGGGTTAAGAAACAGCGAGGGTAAAATAGATGCAAAAGGGAGCAAGTCAGACACAATGGAACAATGAGATGCGTTCACTGTGTAGGCATGGAATAAAGCAAGATTTTCCTCACTGCAAAGCTACAGAGCCCGCAAACTGAGAATTTTCCCCTGGGATCCAGAGCTGGATAAAAAGACATTACTGCAGAGAGGGCTTGAACTGAAAATATGGAAGAGGACATGGGAAAGGTCTACTTGCTCTTCAGAGAGCTATAAGGCTACATTCAGGAGAATACTGTGCAGGGGTCTGTCCCTCTGTACGTCTGAGTCCCATGGGCACCACCTAAACTCCTCCTGCAACTCCAACTGTATATCCTGCATTTTGCTTCCACTTCCAAATCAATGCGTATGTATCTATTCCACCCACCCCTCTTGCACTCATTGCTATTAGAATCCTCTCCAGAGCAGGTTCACCTTGAGTGCTTTGCCCTGAAGCTCATCAATGATGCCTCGGATTTTTCCCAGCAGAAAAGGCCAGGAGTTGATGAGATAGATCCGATCCATCATAATTGTAATGATGCTGTACCAGCGCTGGAAGCCACGAGCCAGGCTGTCTTTGATGAAGAACGTGTGGCTGAACACAAAGCCATGCTGTTCATCGCCAAAGAAGATTGGACCTTCACGTCCTGGGCAGACCTGGAAGGGAGAGACTGGTTCAAACACATTTAACTGAAACAGCAGCTGGTCCCCACCCACCCCCCTCTCAAAGCTCTGTAAGTTTGAAGAGCGTAAGGTGAAGACACAAACCCCCAAGTTAACAGAGGTTCTCCCCCATACAGATGAAATGAGGAAAGTTAAAGATCCATTCAGGAGAGTTCAGAAATGCTTAAAGCAAATTAACTTAATCACCAACAGCCTTTTTGTGCCTCATGAACAGGCACAATTTAATACTTTCTTCCTTTCCAGATCAATTAAAAAAAGAACTCCTGCCAATAACTGGCTCAAAGTGGTTTTACTGTCTCTTCCACCCCCATCCCCATCTTATGTTACAAGAGTGAGAGCAGCAGTGTAGTGCCTTATACTAAAAGGCAGAGAAGTCCCTGAACGGATTTTCTTCCCGTTTCCCACATCACTTACCTCACAACTCAGGCTGCGAACACAGGCCTGGCGCACAATGCTGAAGAGCTGTGGATGGTTTGGGTGCTGGTGGCTGACGTATTTGATTGAGGTCTCTTTGTCATGGCTGACATATCCAGGGTGTCCCGCTGCAAGGGAACGGCAACCCTGACCACAAAAAGAAACCAAGTTAGGACACAACCATTTACCTAACGTAACCAGGTACTTCTGTTACTGCAGTACCTGAACTCTTCTCCGCCTCACTACACCCCCTTTGCTATCCTTATTTGATAGATGGGAACCAAGACAGTCAAGGGCTAAGGGATTTGCCCACTGTCACAGAGAAAGTCTGTGACAGTCTCCCAACTAGTATCCTGCCATTTGAAACATCCTTCCTACAATGCTCTTTTCATTCACTCACAGGGCTGTGTATTTAATGTTGCGTATGCAACTTCAAATTCATCTAATGATGGAAGTAGCTGTGACTCCAATGACTTAATATCTGTCAGCGATACCCGAGAGAAACCAACACCTAGCAACAAGTCCTCACAAAAGGTATCAAGAAGACTTAAGCAGAAGAACATGTGCACAGAAACATCAGTGCTGCTAACTACACTCTTCCACCACTACTTTACCTGGGTTTGGGACTTACTTTCTGCTCTACATCTCTATGAAGATGTTGGCAAACAACTCTGATACTTTAACTAGAAACTGGCTTCTTTCCAATGGAGGTGGAATACTTGTTACCCATTACAGTTTAAAAGGGTGTGGGAACTTTTGTTTTTCTCTCCAACTATAATGCCTTTTATCTAAGCCAAAGACACATTGTGTACAGACATGGGTACACATTTACCTCGCACATGTCTGACTTCTTTGGCCCAGGACTGCTGGAATCAGCACTAGCACCCTCCGCTGGGCTGTGCGACCGGATCCTACTGCTCATCTGAATGCCACCTTCCTCCTCCTCGGCCTGCTCGTTCTGCCCAGGACTGTCTCCATTCCCTGCACCTTGAGGAAGGGGCGAATGCAAAACTTCTGTGCAAAAGAGGGTGCGAGGGCCGTGGAGTTCACAGAAATGACAGAGGGCAACAATAGCATTCATTGTGATAGCTTGGCTTGCCCGTCAGGCCTCCTGCAAATGAGGAAGGAAACAGCGATGTCAGTATAAGGAACAGAGTGAAACGTCCTGCGCCCTGTTTGCTACTAGCTCTGTTCTTCCCCCACTTGGAAGCCTGGAGACCAGCTCAGCTCCTGTCTTACGAGGCTGTGCAGAGCTGAAAGGCCACAAATCACTACTTCTGGCCATGCTATTTGTCTCCGCACTAAGTGGATAAGTGAGTTTAGTGCTGGATTCTCTGTGCAGGGCACGGGGCAGATCCAGCCCATGTGACTTCCCAGCCACCCTGCAGCACACCTGATTAAATCTGCTTAATTGCCCATTTGGCACCTGGCTTCTGCAGCAGCAAGGCAGAGCCAAGACATGGGGGCACCTGCCTCCCTCCAGCTGGGACCTGCCGTGGGAGTGCTTGTGCCCAAGCTGGGACCTGACCCAATGCCCCCTACACAGCTGTGCTCACCCCCTCCCCAGCTCAGAGCCCCCCGACACCTTGGGGTGCCTGAGCCCCTCGCAGCAGGGTCCTGGCCTGACCCTCCCACGGGGGGCAGGGGGGCTGGATCACACAGCTAGGACCCGCAGCCGCTTCCTCCGAGCAGGCCGGACTCCCCCCCCGGAAGGGCACCAGACCCTCCCCACGGCACTGGCCTGGCCAGCCCCACAGTGGGGTCTGGTGCCCCCCAGCACGAGCATGTCTGTCCCCACGACAGCGAGCACCCGAGTCTCCAACTGTGACTGGATCGATTCCCCCACCTGGGGGGCACCAACCCCTGCCCCTTGCTGGACCTTTCCGTACCCCAGGGCCCAATACGGGGTCCCTGCCCCCTCCAGCCGGCGTATGGCCACACACCCCCATCACAGGGGTCACCCCCCAACATGGACGCCCCCCCAAACAACATGGGACCTGACCCCCAGCAGTGATGCGACTCCCCCGTGCAGTCGCATAACCCCCATGTGAGGGGTCCTGATCACCCCCTGCCTCCGTCCAGTGACATAACCCCCATGTGGGGACTCCTGACCCCCCCGCAATGATACAGCCCCCCGTGTGGGGGGGTCCTGACCCCCCGCAGTGACGTACCTCCCGTGCCCCCCCAGCAGGGACCAGGCTCCCCGCGCCCGGGATCGCGACCACTCACCCGACGCCTCCTTGCCCCCCCACCCGGCTAGTCCCGTGGCCCCGTCCGCCTGACACTGCCTGGCAAAGCGGCCCATACCACCTGACTGGGGGGGGGAGGAAGTGCTCAGCTGCCCAAGCCGCGCGGCCCGCGCCCGCCGGCTGAGGAGCGGGGCGGGCAGCGAGGAGATGCGAACACAACAGCCTCCCCGTGCCCCGCCGTCACCTTCTCCGTTAGCCTTGCCAACCCACCATGCCCCCACCCCCCCGGTCTGTTTGCATGGTACAAGCCGAGGCTACTCCATTTCACAGGCTGAGGACGGAACCATTTCTTCGCGGGGGGTTGGCAGCTTTGGCGTGGCAAGGTCGCCTGCGTCGGGTCGCAAGCGGGGGTGCAGCGGCCGAGCCCATTGAAGATAGTACAGAGCGGGGTGGAGGGGAAACAACTGCCCTGCTCGGCCCGATAAGATGCAACAGCTCCCCCCGCTCCCCCCGCGGCGACAGGAGAGATAGTGCGGTCTGCAAGGATCAGTCATGTGACATATACAAGGCTGGGGGCGTGGCCTCCGGGGCGGGGCGGGGCGGGGCCGGGCCACGTGCAGCAGGCGGCGTACAGCCTAGAGCCCTGCAGCTAGGAGCGGGAGAGGTGTATTGCATTTGCTGGAATGCAAGACGAGGTCCGCCTCGTTTTATATTCAAATACAAAGAAACCTCATTAAGTACATCCTAGCATTGCGTTTCCTCTTGCTCTCAGGCAGGAAATCCAAACTTGATCACGCCCCCAAGTGGGGTCACAATGCCAGCAGACTTGGTCTTGGGGGGTGGGAGGCTATGCTGGGGAAATGGGGTCACGCTAAGGAAAAGTTTAGGACACAGCCTCTACCCTGAGGAATTGGCTAGGAGCAACCACTTTAAACTGCAGCAAGGGCACGTTGAGGCTAGAGCTGAGAAGAAACATTTGGGCTAGGAAGGTGGCCAAGGCCTGGACTGGGTGGAGAGAAAGTGTAGCCTCCATCCTCAGAAGTTTCCAAGAGCAGGTTGGACAGGTGCTTGGCTGGGATGGTTTAGCCAAGAATGATCTTGTGTTGGCAAGGTGCTGGACTAGACGTGACCTGCTCCAGCCTGCCTTCCCTACAGTTCTACAAGATCTGCACCTTATGGATTAAGGCGGACAGAAAGCACAAGCTTCTGTGAACGTGAGGTCGTTGCGCGAGGGAGGTACTCTCTCAAGCAATAGATGGAGAGCAGTAGACACGTTAAAAAGAGCTCCCTGTACCTTTTCCGTTATTCTGGGCATCTCTCTCTGCACGTGCACTCTCTCCCCTAAAGGACAAATGTCTAAAATCCTTTCCCCACGCATCCCCTCTTAAATAGCTGGCACGTCAATTTGTTTTCTTGCTCAAGATACCAGCATGCAGGGCCGGTCCAAGGGTAACTGGCGTCCTAGGTGAACTGTGCACCTCGGCGCCCCCACCACTTCCAATATAGAGGTGGGGTGGGTGTGCTGGCCAGGAGTGAGGGGCACCGCTGGCCTGGGTTCAGGGGCTGCAGGTCAGGAGTGAGTGGCACTAGCAGCACTGGGGGCAGGTGCAGGGGCGGTGTTAGGTGGAGCTGTAGCTGGCTAGGAATGTTATTTAGAATGAAGTTCCTGTTATTTTGTTCTGCATATAATTTTGGCGCCCTCCCCCCCAAATGTTGGTGCCCTAGGCAACCACCTAATTCACCTAATGGTTGGACCGGCCCTGCCAGCACGTCTTGTTTGTCTTTAGCACAAAGTAGAGATCATAAAAATCCCAACCTTGCTTGTGCATGGACTACAGCCCTCCTCGTTACTTGAACTTCTAATCTTACAGCACACAAATCTCTATCAGCACAAAACTTTATCAGCATGAAGAAACACTGAACAGGCCAGCTCTCCCGCCTTCCCTCCACAGCTCAATTTGTGATTGTGCTTCCCACAGCAAGTTTACTTATTGCAAAATATTTAGTGTTTTAGCACCTTTAGACCTATAACCTCCAGCAGCAATAGTAATAGAGGTAGATTCACCAAAATCTTGTATAGACAGGAAACAAAAAATTAATTCCTATATTGGACATCTAACCAGAGGAAAGGTCTATCAATGGCTGTTGGTGGAGTCTGATGCATAGTGTTTCAACCGAATAGCTTGTTAAATCCCTGCTAAATAAAACATGGCTAGACTTCACAATTCACAGTGGTTGTCCTGAAACATGATATTTAAAGATGTGCTTTGACACAGGAAGCTGTGCCAAGAACTACCCTCCCATTAAAAAATATGCTGCACGTTCAAGTATTGGGACCACCACAGTACACATTCACAAGACTTTTCTCTCACACAAGCACACAGTATTTCTTCTTGTACTAGAGAATTATTAGACCCTATCAGAACTGAGATTTCTGTATAATCCCATCTTTATTTCGAAAGTAGGTCTAAAAACCCTCCAAAAGCAGACACACTTGTACAAATCAACCAGCCAAACAGCACCTTCCTTTTCTGCTAGATAGAGATGCCTCGTGAACTTCAAAGCTTAACCAGTACCTGTTAAAGTGCTTGGCGGCAAAGTGCAAGACATTACCACATGCACCAGCCTGAAAAGTCTCATTCCAACCCCTGAAAATTACAATTACTTAATAAGGGGGGAGGGTTACTTTACAAAAAAATCCCCGTAAAGTAGTAATAAAACCAGTCTGGAAAATCTAGCACCTCCTTCTTCCAGGCCAGCCAGAGTGTATTTAAAACAAACTAAGAAGAGTTAACTTGTTTGTGATCTTTATTTTTCCAACAGTACATTTAAACAACTTCTCAGGACTAACCTCCTCAGCCAATTTTGCCATGCAGGGAGAAAAAAAATAAAGTCATTTCCTAAATTGTACAGTTAACCTAGGACAACACACAGAACGGGTCACAATCGCCGTGTCGTGAAGGGAGAGGAATGGCGAGAGGAGCAATTTTAGTCAGGCAGCAGCACCTGGAGCAATGCAACAATATTGTGTGCGCGAAGCTCAGTAAAGGAATTGCACAGTGGCACTCCTCTGTGGCAGGAGCATTACAAAAATTGTTCACAGAACAGCGTGGAGCCATTTAATTTGTCCAGCATTACACTCCCTGTTAAACATCTGAAATGAAGCCCCATCCCGTGGCCAACTACCATCATTGCAAGGCAGGCCACATCTTTTTTTTCCTCCAAGTTAAAATGCAGTTAACAACTAGATGCAAAGTGTATGTTAGGGAGCAGGCAGTTTAACTGCTTAGAGAACGGGGAAGAAGGGAAAAATGCTTAGCATTAACAAGTGTAAACTGATCTGATCCACCTCTTCTGTCTTGTCTCTGGGTAAAAAGAGACTTGCCCTTTCTCAAGGAAAAAAGCCTTTTGTAATGGGATCCTACTCCCATACACCTATTGTCCCACTTCAAGTACCTGTGAAGTACCAAGATAAGATGTGCTAATGCTGTTTCCCAGGACAATTGCAGCCCATTCATTGTAAGGACGAGCTAAAGGGATGTGCCAGTCAGGTCAGAACCACCTCACACACAATGTCTGTTTTTAGCCTTGCAGTAAATGACTGAACCACGGTAAATTAAATGCTCTTTCATTCAGGGTAAGCTGCCTCAGTTCAACTTTAGCCTAGTGCAGGATGAACGGAAAGCTAGAGCAGTTAGACTGAATCACAGTAAAGTCCCTGCTTCCTCCTCAGAACACTAATTGCTCACCTATCCACACCCTTATTTGAGAGTGTGCATGTATCTAATATTTTGCGAGCACCTTGAGGACATGCAAGACCTGAAGATGTGGCCACAGGATTTTGTGCATGTTAAAATAAGACAAGTCTTCTATCTGGTGTTCTTAAGCAGTGTGTCTTTTCTTACCACAGGGAAGCATTCACACTAAATCCAAAATACTGAAGCATCCTCAAAGCTTCTCAGTTCCCCATCAGGATGTGAATGGTCCTGCACCTTCTAAAAGCAAGTCAGATGAAAACAATACAAAGACTCAGTTTGCAACAGAATTTCCAAAACCTTAACGATATCAGAACTGAGACACTGCTCGTCTTACCCCAGTGCATCTTGGTGCCTTACGGTTCATGTCAAACTGAACACTTGGAGGTGGCATCATCATTTTCAAAGCTGTTTTACCACAACTATGAATGTGAGAGGAAGAGGTGTGGCCAAATTCTCAACTGGCTTTGAAATGTTTAAAACTCACATTTATAACACGGAAATAAAAAAAAATATTGTGCTATAAAGAACTGTGCGACTTGAAATATTACATAAATACTTGTACAATTTTCGGTTATAACATGGGGCTTACTTTACGTAACTCTGAAGATGTGATACCGCTACCTTTTATCAACTGCATATAATAAATGCTAGTTTGCTTCTTGTGGTATTATAGTCTGCTGGAAGTTATTTGAGACAAGCCCACAGAACAGTAACATAACAGGACTTGCTTACAGTATAGTTCAGCTGCCACTTCAAATAATCAAAATAAACTTTCTACTGTTAGAACTTCAATAAAATACTTTGGGTACATTTACTTCCTACATAAATGGCCTCCTGTGCACAGTGTTGGAAGCACAAACCTTCCTCTTTAATTGAGGGAACATTTTGACATATTTGTATAAGTAGCAGTTTGTGGTTAGTCATTTTCTATATTCCTTGGGTGGTTATTGTACCTAATTTCACAGGCTTTCACAACAACAACTCACTCAAGCCTGCAGTGCCATCAGTCTTACACTTGACACATTTCTATGGTGCCAGAGTAGAAAACTGGAAAGCACATTCAGCATTTAATCCTGCAGTGGTTTTAATAAGGCATTTAAAAAACATATCACCAATCTCTTTGCTCATTACTTGTAATGAGTACTGGGGAAGACAAGGATTTGCTTTGAGATTAGGTGCAAATTTCCTTCAGTTTGGGAGTCATTATGATAGAAACTGAGTGCTGAATTAATCACTACAGACCTACGCTTTTTTAAAAAATCTATTACCAGTTAAATCACTATTTTATAACCAATTGTAAAAACTCTATCTAGGAACAGC